TCCTCGCCTGCTTCTTGTACACCGTCCAGGTCTCCGCTTCATACGGCAGCGTCGGCAGGATGGCCGCCTTGTACGTTTTCAGTTTAGTGTTGAGATGGAGACAGTGACGATTCCAGACGGTGTTTTGTGACGACCGAATGCTTGACTGGCTTTGGAAATCCGGTGGGTCACCTCATTGTCGACCTTGATGTTGGGGGAGAGGGTTCTGCCCAGGAAGGTGAAGTTCCCCACGACTTGCAGTTGAGCGCCGTTCACGTTGATTTGGGGTGCGTTGTAGGCAGCGTCGGTGGCGTTTAATGTATGATCACCGTCTTCTCAGTGTTGATGAACAGACTGAGGTTGTCGCAGCCGGCGGCGAAGAGATGCATGCTCCTTTGCATGTCCCATTCCGAGGTGGCGTTTAGAACGAGGTCGTGGGCGAAGAGAAGTACAGGGACGGTAGTTGTGGAAACACGCAACTGGAAGTGCATCCGCTACTGATTTGGGAGGTAGCCACCCGTCCTGTAGGCGATGCAGATACGAGGGCGTTCGTCACAGTAGGTGTCCTTCGGTATGGCAGAGAAAATTAGACTAAAGAGAGTAAGCGCGAGGACGCTGCCCTTCCTCCCCCCGCTGGCCAATGGAAATGCCTCTGAGGAAGCTTCATTTGCCATTTATAGGCATGTTATGTCGTGCGGTGAAGTAAAGGCGACAAAGCAACTGTCCTCTCACTATGAAGTTCAGCATAACATCAGCCACCTTAGTTTCAAGAATATATTCCAGTGATTAGCTCAAAAATTCAGCCCATTTGGAGTCGCACGCCGTTCCCGACGTGCTGTGAGTAATCGAATGAATGGGAAGTCTAAATACTATAATCTACTAAACAAATGTCAGTCTGCTTGTAGTGAGAAACCACAAAAATACCTAGGCGACAATCGATTAAAAAGAATTCAATTTCCTGTCTAGATTTTCAGTGCAAGTAGAGTCAGTAATAACGCAACGCTACGCATGCTCCGACAGTACGCATTTTGGGGCATGATCGAACAGCATGCAATTATTCGGACGACGAAATTTGACTATGGGTCACCTCTGAGTGGCGCACACAGAGCTGTACTGATTTACTAACACATTTCTTGAATTTTGGATGACATTCATGGCAAATATTCCAGAAATGCAGGACAGAAGAATCTACAAAACACCAACTCGTTTGAATATTTCCTCAAATGGGTAAGGTGCCTGCCACATTAAAAGGTTTTGGAGAGTTGCGAAAAAAGCCATCACTGTGATCGTCCCACACCAACATAACATGGGACCCTCGAAGAAATTCCGACGACCAGAATGGGGAACGCGCGTACAACCAGAAACAGCAACATCAGTCAGTTTTACATATGTATGTTCTACTAAACCACGATGAACACATATGTCCAAGTACTCAAATGCGACCCATTATGGGATTACGGTTAGAAACGATACAGCTCACGAACCACTTTCGAATATGCTGTAATTAAGAGCACCTAAACGTGGTAGGAGGATCTCGCAGAAGTACTTATGGCGAATGTCAGCAGCTCCGTGTGCATAACATTTCGCGCTATACATTTACGCATTTCAATAAATAACATCCCTGTGACTCATTCGATGTACAGCGTTTTCATTACTTCAAAACCTTTACTTCCAGGTACGTTGACTAAGACCTGACCAGATGCCTGGCCTTGTCGTACATCCACAGGCCGAGAAACACGTTGCTGACAGGCTTATCGATTTTGCAAGAGCGCCACCAACGGCGCAATCGATGATGACTCGATTCGAATGCTCGGCTGCCAGCACAAAGCTAGCGGACAATGCCTGAGATGACTGACTTTGTGTGCCTATTGCTCTGCAAGTTATTCGCCCATTACTTCGGCCCTAGCCGACTGCCGCCAGCAGATGGCACAAGCGTGGACCAGGCGCACAGCACGGGTACGTCTTCCGGAACTCTTTAGCCCCATCTCAGTCCTTAAAGAACAACACTAGCAGGACAGAGCCAGGCTAAATAACATACCTATTTAGCAGTAAATACCGATAACTAACAACATGAAATGAGGCTAGAGATATTTGACACGCGGACTTCTATGGACCATGCTATTAAAAATCTACGCAGACCAATTAACAAACAAGGAATCAGAAAGGTCAACTAAATGCAT